CCGGGTTCGACTGGCCGCGGTCAAGACCACATAGTCGCGTGGCTCAGGCAGGGCCATCGCAGGAAGGCCGACTATCGAGGCCTCCCAGCCGCACCGCGCAAGCGGCGACGGGCACGTCCTTCAGACCTGAAGACATGCAGCGGCTACGTGACGCCATGCGCGATTCTCGGCGCAGGTACAAGGAACTTCAGCGACAGGTTCGCGAAGCTGAAGAAGAGTCCAACCGCAACATCAACAGTGCGTTGGTGGCACTGGGCCTCGATGATATCTTCGAGGATGACGAAGACTATGAGGACCAGCACACTCTGCAGCCGAATACTCCGGCTGCTGCAATATCAGGACCAGCCCAAATAGAGGCTGGTGACGACGATAGCGAAGAGCCGCCGATGGAACAAACTACCATCGATACGCACCTCAGTGACCGGCATTCCGACCAGTCAGCAGAAGCGCAGCAAGTAGAAGCTGCGCTAGTCAGTCCGCAAGACCGGATTGATGCGGGTCGTGAACAACGGCTTCGCAATGCGGGGCTGCTACCCCCAGAGGACGTTCCGCAAGCACCGCGGAACGTAGCGTTCGATCCTCAATACGGATCGAGGGCCACTACGCACCCGCTGGATTCGGGTGCGCACATGGGCACGCAGGAGCCTTATACTGCGCAGATGTCCGCATCGCAAGGACCTGCGTATCGAACAGGCCGCGTGGATCACACGCGGGATTGGCGTAACCCACGCCGATCTATGGGACTGTCCACCCGTGTTGGATGGGAACCTCTGACCGCACCCGCGGGTCAGAATAATGATATGGTATACACGGGGCCCGCATATGGACCTCGGGATAGTATAACTATCAATCGTCTACTGCAGATGATAGACGAAATGGTGGGCCCTGCGCCCATCGGGGATCCCCCTGCGTACCTCAAGGTGGCGAAGCTACCGCCACCCAAGACGTACGACGGGAAGGATGACCTCGACGCACTCGAAGTATGGCTACGAGGCCTTCTCGAGTATTTCAATACGCTCAGGATCATGGGTCCTGAGCTAGATCGAGAGCGTGTCCGCATTCTTGGGCAAGCTGTTAGCGGGGAAGCCGCTAACTGGCTGTACAACACGGTACAGTCTCCTTCTAGAGAAAAGAAGGACTGGCTATTCGAAGAAGTCGTAATAGCCATGTATCGCAGGTTCATCCACAAGGACCTGAACCTAAGGGCGGAGCAACAATATGCTTCGCTGAAGTACAAAGCCAGTGAAGGGGGAGTAGCCGCCTTGTATGAACGGCTACTCTATACGTCGGTCCGACTCTGGGAACGACCTACGCCATACCAGTTGCGTAGTAAATTCATCAGCGCGCTGCCCGATGACATCGTGCAGGTCATGACCGTATTAAATGGTCTATCGCCGTACGAGACCGACATCACGCAGCTATACCAAGCTGCGTATGCAATTGAACAGAGTTCTCAAGCTATGACTGCGAGGAAACAGGCACGGGAGCTTACCCGTACTGGCAATTCCTCGAGTACCACCCCGAAAACATCGGGGGAAGCACGCCCAAACCCAGGCGTGCGGACGACCATGAAGAAGTCGTCCAGTTCCGCTCCACCACAGCGTAACCCAAACTATAAAGCTACGTCAAGCTTTAAGAAGCCTTCGAGTGGAAATCGAAGTGCGAATGCGCCAAACCAGGCACGTTCGGGACCGCAGTCTGCTTCTGTGGTCAGGGTCGACCGATCACAGAAGGCTCCTTTGAAGTGCTACAACTGCGGTCAGATAGGCCACTTTGCGAGCGACCCGAAGTGTCCTAACTTCGGGAAGAAACCAGCGTCAGGACAACGCTTGTTCGCGCAACGAGTTATTAACGATAACTCGGACCAGGAAGACGATCCTGGTGTACCTGAGAATGACCCAGCTGCTGATGGAGCTGGGGACGTAGTAGAAGCGCAAGAAGACGCTATCGAAGGAGTGGACGAGAAGGATGATGGGGTATATCCGTCATCGGACAACGACCTGGAGGGATCTCAATATGATCCTGAAGGCGAATTGTACCAGTCGTCAGGAGACGACGATGGGGACTACTTTGGTGCTATGCGTATTGCACCAATAGAAGAGGAAAGCGAACCTCTCCGGTTCCATACAATGGCAGTAGCCCCTACGAAGGGCTACAAGCAAGCATGGCTGTACGACAATAAAGTACGCCGTATAGAGGATCCTGCGGCGCAACCCGCAAGAACGATTCAGTCTCAGCGCACGCTTTGCGCTGAGATATCCGTAAACAATGTCGTTGCTCTGG